TAATAATAATAATAATAATAATAATAATAATAATAATAATAATAATAGTACAGAAGTAGAGGTTTACTTCAATTAAAAACCTACTGAAGAAGAAAAGCATGTATTGGCTGATTACATAAAAGGCAGCCAAGAACAAGCACTGATTGATATTAAAAATTGGAGCCTACTGGATGTGCAAGAAACAAAGCATGAATATTGAACTAAGGGAATAAAAACCAGAACAGAATGCTGGCAAGGAAAAGTATTACATGGTCAATTTCTATAAAAGATTGAGGGAAAGTGGATAAAGATAAAACCTGGCAATGACTTATACACTGGAAACTAAAGGCTTGATTTTGGCTGCTCAAGAGTAAACTAATGCAATCAAGGCTAGAATTGAAAAAAATCATCCAATGATTCAAAGTGCAAATTGTACAAAGCAGAAGGAGCAGCAATAGATCATATACCCAAAAGTTTAAACAGCAACATAACAGTCACCAGAATAATATCTGTAAAAATTAAGATGTGCCAGTAATAAAAAAAATGGTGGGAACATACTGTGTAGTTGAAAAAGTACTCAAAAATAAGCATGTTAAAATATTGTTGGATTTCCAAATACAAATACAAACTGATATAGTCTTGGCCCCTAAGACACCAAGAAAGTACTTTAAATTGGTTTATTATTTTATAAATGTTTGTGGCTATGAAGTCAAGGAGGAATAGAGATAATGTATGCTTACTTTAACTGTTTCTAGTTGAGAAAGAACAGCTTACTGAACCATCTACTATTTACAAATTTTACCAGCTCACATGATGGAATATGTCCTATGTAGTAGGAATGTGAGAATTGGCAATGTATTCCTACTAAGTTTCACTTTTGAATCTCTGGTGTATTTGGTTAAAACCGAGTATTTCAAGTGTGGGAAGGAAAGCTCTATAAATGCAAGCCAAAGATATATGAAGTCCAACTAGAATTCATGGGTAATATGAGGTGTCTGTCTACATATATGTCTTCTGAAACAGAACAAGAAAACCAGGAAAGCCAAAGCAGAAAATTCTGGACTCTACAGTTACACAAAACAGGCTTCAGCCATCCTATATGATCTAAGGGATTTCTTCCCTCAATTTTTTATACTGTTGACTGAAGGAGAAAGGAAAAAGAAACGTGCTAAACATATTGTGTTCAAACTGTTTTGAGCTCATTATGTCCCATTTCAGTTTAAAACAGTTGCCTGAAGCTCAGCACAGATTTACCAATTTTACAAGAAATATTTAGATATTATAACAAGAAATACAAAGAAATCTGGGGAGGAGATTCCACAAGCTAGGAGATTCATGGTAATTACTGACATTTTACAGAAGAAATATTACAATGAAAAATGTCCTAATAAATTGTCCCTTTTAGCAACATTATAATGAAGTTTATATAGATGACATCAGTTTAATTAGTTATCACAAATAATATGATGATACTAAGATTACAGTTACTAAAAACAAAATCAAATGATTCATATTGTTAAAACAAATGTTCTTGACTATGACTTGCAAACACTATAAAATAAACATTTATGAATGTATATTGGAACTACAATTTTGAATATATTACATTTTATTAAATTTTAGCATTAAAATTATTTTTTAAAAAATTTATCTCTATTGTTTTTAACCTGAATTTAAATGTACTCAGTGACTTTCTCTATGAATTGTACCTTTTCTCCAGGGTGACCTTTAGGACCAGTTTCTCCAGCATCACCCTAAATATCAGAATAAGTTCTTTTAAATTTTTTTCATTTACCAGTTGCTTCCTATTAAAAGCATCCTACATTTATTACTATTGACAGTTTTGAAGAAAGCTATAAAACTAGGCGAAGGAAATGAACAAAAAGAGCAACAGAGTAATGGAGGAAAGAAATGATATAGTAGAAAAATCGAACAATCTACATCTGTACTGGCGGTAGTCTGTCTTCCTGTCATATCAAACTTGGTTTTTGCTTAAGTTTTTTTTACAATAATATTTACTGAAATTTAAAATTACAAAGATTAAAAACTAATACAAACCAAGATTAATATAAACAAGAAAAAAAATAGAAAATGAAAAAGGGGAAAGAATGGGAAGGGAATTAATGAATGAATAAATGAATGAATGAACAAACAAATGAATATTCTCTAATATTCCAAGAAAAATATATTTTCATCCCATATCTCATCATTTTTCTATTGACAAATATTAGAACCTTTTTTTATCAGAAAAAAGTCTAATAACACTGGTTTAAAATAACTATGTAGTTATTTTCAACATTGTTTTTCTTTACAGAATTTCATAAATTCCCAAGAATGTAGAATCTGAGCTGGGAATTTCCTGAAACTTTAGGCCTCAATAGCATCACCTAGAGTCCTAGACCATTACAATTAAATGCTTAAGCTCCTTTTTTTTTTTTGTTCCCTTCTCTTCCCAAATTGGATGCCTTATTTCAATTCTTTCAGTTACAATGTGACTTACAACCTTTCAAAATGGAAAATCTGATTTTCTATAGTTTTTACAACACCATATGAATACATAACATTGAACTGGGTGCTGATTTTCTAAGTTCTTGAATAAAATGAAATGTAAAAAAAAGTTGTTGAACACTTCACAATTCAATTTTGAAATTATTTGTTTGTATACATACATAAGTATCTACATTACCTTTTCTCCCCGTTGTCCAGGATCGCCCTAATTGAAACAGAAGACAGAAATAATGCATTTATTGTTCTCAAAGGACATTCGTGCAGATCTATCAGACCTTTATCAGACCTTTATCTATGACCATTGCATCTATTTAATAAATATACATGTAAGAATAAAAATAGTAATTTCGACATTGATTCAATAGAAATATGATACACTGTCTTATATTTGGACTTCTTGTGACTATGTAAAGCAGGGGGCTCCCAATCCATAAGCCGCAATCTGTTCAGAACCTTGAAAGCTGAGGGTGTGTGTGTGAAGCTTTCCTTGTTGAGCAGCGGCCACCAGCCCCTGTATATGAAGTGTGTGAGTGGCAGGCACCCTCGCACACCACTCACACAAATAGAGCTGTGCACGCCCACCTGCCACTTTCACGGAACCATCCCCTCCCCCCCACTGGGTCATCAAGCCTGAAAAGTTGGGAATTGTTGACATAGAGAGTCTAGACTGATTGCTCTTTTAATTTCTTCTTCTTGTTCTGCCTTTCCTTCTCCTACCCGATGAGAAACTATAATCTCAAATAACTAATGGTTTTGTTTTGGCTTGTTATTATCTTACAGTTGTATTCTCAGACTCCATCAAAATCAATTTGCTTTCATATTAATGACTGCTTACAGATTGGAAAGCATCTTTAAAGGCTCTGATTATGTTTGAACTTTGCCTCTATATAGTTCATTCAAACTTTTTTGATTATTGATTTCTTGCATTTCTAAAATATAACAATAGGAAAACTAATTAGCTATTAACTGTTATCAGTGAAACTCTAAAGTGAGAAATGTGTGTACCAAGATGATCATTTTCAGATCTTGTCTCATTCCTATGAGATCTAAAATGTGTTGTGACTAGTGGTAGGATTCACTTCTTTTTTAATCTGTGGGCATAGCTTGGTGGGCGGGGCAGGGGAAGGCTACTGTAAAATCTCCAGTCAGAGGAGGTATTTGCCGGTTCTCCGAACTACTCAAAATTTCCGCTAGTGGTTTTCCAGAACTAGTCAGAATCTCTTGAATACCACCTCTGGTTGTGACCTAGGACTGCATGCTAAAAATACATTAGCACGACCAATGAAATAAAAGAATGTAGACTATTAAACTTAAGAGCATTTATATACTAGTTATAGGACTGCTTTTTTTCTTTTGAGATATTTAGAGTCATTTTTTCTTGATCAGAGTGTATTGATTCACCACCAGACTTAAGAAATGCATGATGCTTTGTAAACTTTGATCCCATATGTTTAATGAATAAGACAAAAGCTTCATTAAAGCAGATTTATCACTGATGTGACAAATTACAATAGTAATATGATTTATTAATCATATTTTCTTAAACATTATTGTATACAAAACTACAAATTACTAATTATTACTGCAACTTAAACATTACTATAGTAGGGAAGTATGCAATCATTACTGTGTATTCTGTATGACTAATCTATTTGCCAGGTACAAATTTAAGGAAACTTCAAGGCCCTTCTTTTTCTTCTTTATCTTTATAATGGGATTGGGACAATGGTTCAAATACATACTTCTTCAGTTAGAAGAATATCTTCTAATAGCTTTAAAAACCAATCACTGTATGTAAACTAGGACATTTGACAATTAATAAGGCTAGGACATATAGATCTGCTTTGCACCAAGGCAGAGTTTCTGTCCAGGTAGGTTAGTATTTTGACTATAAGCAGCTCTTCAGGGTTAAGATATGTGCATAATTTTCAGTCCTGGTCCCTGAAACTTTCTCTGACTGAAAACTGAAAGGGAGAATTGTACTGCTAATCAACCAAATTTGGTTTATCAGAAAATCTCATTCAGCCATATTTCACTCAATAATCATAAAACCAGTTAATGTATATGTAAACACTTAAATTTTGCAAAGGACATCTTTGGGTAGGGAGCTGGGAAAATGAAGATCCTTTTCATCAAAGGATCATCATGTGTGAACCATCTACAGAAAAGGCTCATTATTTAAATCATATATGACTACAGAAGAAACTACGGAGTCTGGTGGTTCACAAGGTTAGGATGCTGGGTTGATGATCAGCAGGCTCATAATCAAGACCTGGTTGCTACTGTGAGCTCTCATCACATGCTACAACTCCTGCCGAACCAGCAGTTTGAAAGCAAGCGACTGCAAGTAGATAAATGGGTACCACTTCGGTGGACAACTTAACAGGGACATGAAAGAGCTGCCAACTGGGCATTCCCGGATAATGGTAATGTTACCATCCAATCCTTTCAACCCAGAATGCTGTGGAGCTCCCACTATGACTATAGTAGTACAGAAGAATCTTATGAAAATATTGTAATATAACCCATTTATTCTTTTGATATAAGTAAAATATATTTTATAACAATTATCTGAGTGTGCGTATTGAAGATTATTGTCCTACTCTCTATGAGCTCCACTGATAAATGTAATGTCACAAACTATTCTGCTACAAAAAATGACTTTCAAAAGAATTGCAAAAAAAGATCATGTATAAAAAAGAGAGTGTAAAAAATTACTAGAAAATTACTAAAATTACTTTATCTACTAACCTTAAGCCCAGAGTCTCCTCTTTCTCCCATTACACCAGGTTCTCCCTGAAATAATGCCATAAAAAATCAATTGAATTGAACTGGATCAGCAAATTTCAAGCCTAAGTGATCAATTCAAAAGTATTATAAGTGTCGCAATAAAAACAGAAATGAAAATTTATGTTTCATTTATAATTCTCTTTTATTATTTTCAAAGAATGGTTGATTAATACAAAGAATTAAACTAATACATAGGATAATTACTATTTTTGATATGTCATAAATTTATTAACATTTGTTTCATCTCTGTCATGAACTCCTTTTAAATGGAAAGAGGATAAAGGTATTTCTAACAGCATTAAATATGCAAATATATAAATCTCAAAAAATTGTTTTACATTAAGAATAGAGTGGAGATAAGCATGGACAATAATTGCATTAAGCAAGATTTTTTTTTTAAAAAAAAAAAACTTACTTTAATATGGTTTATTAAATGCCATAGCCTGGGATGTATCCGAGCTGATGCCTCAGAAATAACCCATTTTAAAGTACAAAATCCGCAGTTGGAAAAAATATTTATAGGATTATCAAAATGTCATGCAACAGCATGTAAATTGTTTATTCTTTTAGATATTTTTGATAGCCTCAAGTAAATAGGGTATTCTCCAGATAATTGAAATTCAACTTGCAGAATTCCCAAATAGTTGTCATATTGCCACAATGGTAAGGATTCAAAGTATGATGAACTAGTTTAGCCTGACTGAAGAAAGTCCTCAATATGATTTCCCCTATGGAAACGTAGTGCTGTCATCGTTGCAGATTCAACCAAGTTTAGAGCTTCCTGTATGGAGCTTTCCAAGGTTCTGAAAATACTTATTTTTGCCAAAGCATAGACCTTTTTTAAACTGGCTCCCTTGAAGTCCTCATATTGGGCAAGATAGGTTTTTTCCAAGCCTGTAAAACCGAATGAAGGTACTGATGTCCGAAAACTACACTTCTGAAAGACAGACACTGTGAATTCTTTTGGCAGTCTTCTTGTCACAATATATTGCTTCAAAGTTGATTATAGATATCACAAAGAACAGCAGGACAATTTATCCCATATGACTTAGTGGAAGATACTTCTACCAGAATTGATGACAATCCTGCTGTATAACAAAATCTATTGGCTCAGAGTCAGAAGAATCACCCAAAGGCTAACAGGCCAAAGCTTGTTATATGCTTTTATCAGTCTTGTTAAAAAATACTCTGTAATGGACATATGTGATGGAACATGCCTAGGGAAAGAAGCTAAGCAAGGATGGGACTAATCACTAATTTTGTGAGAGAACTTCTACCACCCCATCCCAACCCCAGAAAATAAGTAAACTATAGACCTTGAAAACATCATGGAAAAAAGCAGTGGCAACCCCACTTCTGTACTGTTGCCACAAACAAGCAAATACAGTACAGTGGATGTGTCCATAGCTTTCAAACTCAATTTGAAGCACATTTCCCCTTCTTCACTTGATAAAACAGGATTTTACCATGTCTCCAAATGCAGTTGGAGGATATTTCTTAGTTTTATAGGAAAGCAGAAGGATTTCTTGATGACAAAAAAAGAAAATTAATAGAATTCCACTAATTTATGCCAATTTATTTGTAAATTATATTACAATTTTTTAAAAAAGAAACCAGATTTCTTCTAGGTTCTGTGAGCCAAAGGCAGGGATAATGAAAAGTGGTATTTTGCATATGTTCCTAACATTCTGAGCTAGAGCTGAACAAGAACTTTTCAATATACTTTTCCTCTTTCTTATTACCTCCCTGATATCTTAAAGTATATTTTCTATGGCTTTTCTGCCCATCTGGCAAGTTAAATAAATAATACATATTTTTAGCAATGTTCTGAATGCTCACAAAACCTGCCTGGGAACTTTCTGTACAAACTAAAGGCAGTGATGTTTGGTACCTTGGTTACGTGGTGCTAGGGATTCAAACCATCAACCTTTCTGATCGACAAGCTTAGCATCTTAGTCACTGAGCAACCATGTCCCTCAGGTTGGAGGTAGGTTTAGTTAATTAAGATGTCTAAATGACTAAAATGACTAAATATTTTCTAGTTATGATATTTTCTCTCTCTCTTTCATTTCAGGGTGACTTAATAGGATTCAGTTGCATGACTGTCGGGCAAAACAAGACTGCAGAAAGTCTTTTCCTGGGCAATTGTCAAATAGAAGTGAGCATAGAATGAACTCAGTTACTATGGTTATAGATGGAACCCAGCAGCATCTATATATTTCATATGTATGAGTTTATTTATGACTAATTGATGCACTTGCTTGTCTTTCTCTCACAACAGTTTTATGAGATAATCAAAACAAAGAGAAAAAGACTGGTTCAATTTCATTTGAATAATGCATATTAATCCAACGTGCTATATTAACCAGCATAATGATTTATTGTGAAGTCAATTTTAGAATTTGCCTTGCCAGTGTGCATCATTTTAACAGTAAGTCAAAATTTATGTTATATACAGAACAAGCTAAGGTTGTATCTATGAAGTGTAAAACAATGCAAATACTTTTTTATATTAGGCAATGTAATTTTTGTTTTTATGTATACATCTTTTCTGTACTAAAATATTTTAATGTACATATTCTGAAATATTCAGTTAATTGACATTAAGGCATCATTTCAATTATGTTATAAATTCAGTAATTGTTCATTAGGGATCAATTTGTTATACCTCACAAGAATGCCCCAGAAACTGGAAAAATACTGAGCTTTCCCCAAATGCCATCACTCTGCTAAACAAACAATTCCCTCAAGACTGTCAAACTATTTACTAAATCTGCATTACTATTACTATTAATCTTCCCATCCTTTCTTTCACCCATCTCATCCCACTTATGACTGTATAATTGTAACTTTGTTGCTTGTATCCTTACAATTTTATTGACTGTTTCCTAGTATGATTTGATTGCTTATTGTATCCTATGACTATATTTATATATTATATACTCTATGACTACACAACCCTATGGCTGTTATTAAGTGTTGTACCTTATAATTCTTGATGAATATATCTTTTCTTTTATGTGCACCAAGACAAATTCCTTGTGTGTCCAATCACCCTTGGCCAATAAAGAATTCTATTCTATTCTATTCTATTCTATTCTATTCTATTCTATTCTATTCTATTCTATTCTATTCTATTCTATTCTATTCTATTCTATTCTATTCT